TGGCCCGCAGATGTCGGTATAAAACGTCTCGACTTGAAAGGGCTGAGCTCATACGGCCCTGGACGAGACATGGGGCACAGGCCCCGACGACGATGTTCGCGCAGCTCTCGCTGGAAAAATGATGCCACTCCGCGCTTTCCTTATGGTCCTCATATGAACACCGACAGCCTTTCCAATATAACTCCCTTGACACCATCAAGAGACCAAGCCCAAAATGAGTCGAGTAAAGTCGCTTTGCAGCATCGGAACAACATTCGCACAGAAGCTAGGGCTGACTGGCTACGTCATCACAGCCCTGCGAGATTTGCCTGCAGACATCCTTCGGCCCGTATGTCTTCGATATGGCTGCGGAATCATTGAGCTTTCGCATATATTTTCTGACAACTCTGCAGCCTTCCGACCTTCGTCGCAGAAGGGTATGGTGTGGCTGCAGAATCCGAGTTCGTCAAATCCCAGCTTCCGGCACACTGTAAAGAGGTATCCCCATAACCATAGCAGCCTCGGTTCTGGATGCTGGACTTGTCTTTACATCCTGATCCGGAACCGAGAAAGGGCTACTTCAGTCCTGGTGGCTTCGAACCTTCCGCCCAAGACCCGAAACATTGAACGCTACAGGAATTCATCGGAGCTTCCATCAAGCTGCACACGCCTGCGCGGATGGCCGATAGAGCTTTTTGGCTGAGTGGTGGCGCTCAGAGTGGCTTCCTTCGCTTTGGAGGAGCGTTAAACGGTATTGGCACCTGGAAGGGTGAAGGGTTCTGGGTTGCGGGGTTTGGGGATTTGCGATTGGGATTCCAGGTTTGGGTTTAGAATTCTTATTAGTATGGCAAAAAGCTTAGTTCAATACTGAGACGAAAGTCATCTTTTCACCGGGTGTCATGATGCCTCAACTCTAGTTGAATGCTTCTTTCAGCTGGGGGCTCTCTTGGGGAATCCTTCTAATCGGGATCCTGCCATAGATGGGGTCACTTAAGGTCCCTTGTTCTGTGCAAATCTCATGTCCGGAAAACTTCCCTGCAGCGCAAATCCCAAGACTTTTGAATTTCTTTCCAATGACATTTGCGAAGCCCTAACCTAACACTTTGAGCCTGCGACGTTGGGGCTTCCTCCACGTGCGACGATGTTTCTTTTAGTGTGCCTTGTCAAAATTTGGGTTTGAAGAGGCTGCTGGGGCCAATGGCATGAATCGATCACTGCAGCGGTATCAGCAATACCTGTAAGGTTCGTATGAGTCGCAATGACCGCAGTATCACCAAGAATAACACGGGGGTGACTAGTATACATGGCTATACCAGTGCTGAATGCTCATGTGCTACATGCGAACTGCTATCACAGTCGCTGAGTACTCATAGTTTGCGAGACTGTCAGGGATACATGGATTGGCTACTTTCATAGAATGAAGATGGGTTCCGTCTTTGCTCCTCGACAGATACAGGTTTTCGAGACAATGGGAGACCACAAGACTGCACCCAATAAAGTAACGGTAACGCAATCGACAAGCGTCTAGCACACCCGGCATTTTCCTGTCCTGTGCCAACTTAGAAATACTGGAGATTCCAAGTCTAGGCGGGGTTATCTGCTGCACAAAGGGTTTGCTTTTTCCTCGACCGTAGCCAAGGAGATTCTGCGGATATACATCCGCGACTGCTTCGCAGCGCCTCAGAACTCATAGTCGCCACCGGCGGGAAGCTACAACTTTCAGAACTTCAGAGATCAGAAGACAAACGAAGGTATGAGTAGTCAGGGTTTCCTTTTCCGAATGCAGAACCTATAGTCCCGATACCCACGATCGCTTCTTTTGGACTGTGTGCCACTGTATGTTTTGTGAGCCCGGCCAAGGAGTTGAACCTGCGGCTGCAAAGCATGGACGACATGTAGCTGGGCGGGTCGTTGAGGTTCAGAGCATGGGGCTTAGGGTTTCAGGGTTTGGGGGTTGCGGTTCAGGTTTCTGATGGCCTTGAGGCAAGGGCTCTCATGTAGACTTCTATCCCTGACTTGCGCCAGTTTCGGCCAGGGTTTGAAGTTTGAGTATGAGACCTCAACCGGTAGCCCAGAACATGGTGAACCAGAAGGACGAAAGCCTGAACAAAACTGCTAAGGTGGCGGAAGATGCGCCCGAAGCTAGATGCCATCGCAGGGACCAGTTAGGATCTGGCTGGGAATTCCAAGAGCACGTTGAGTTCGACGGACACTTCAAGACTGGTATGAGGGTAGAGCTTGGGTTTCCTAGCTGAGACGCAGAATACACAGCCGTCCTGGTCCAAGACCAGCGCCGTGCTGGAATTTGCGATAAGTTATTTGCGGGCCCTCCAGTGCATGCCCCTGAGAACTTCCCACTGTCATACTGGAACCTCAAGCATCTTTATGAAATTCTGTAGTGGGTGCGAGGCCGGTACATGAGAAAAAGAGAACATGTGCCTGTGTGGGCGAGTGTCCGGAAAGCTGGCATCAGCGGAAGTCTTTACTGAAAGTTAAAATAATGGATAATACATATATATATGTATAAAATTATGTATATACATATATATATATATATACATACATATACACGTATACGCAATGTATGCACATACACATGTGTCTGCTTGCCCATTTCATTGTTAGACAGGGCACCAAGCAATGCCCCGTTTACATCAAGAGAGGGAGATGCAGGACATGGATAGGTGCACAGGGAAGCAGATAGCTAGACTGGCTTTGGGAAAGCTGTTTGCTGGATAGGCTTGATAATAGTTACTGGATACAGACACTGACAAAAGCGTCTTCACGACGATCAGCGTAGGAATTTGGGGGGTCCATTTAGGCCCTGAGGCCAATTTCGCCGTGTCCATGGCAAGCAGGCTTCAAGCCAAAGGTTTTCCAGCTTGCCATGCTAATGCCTGCTTCCCGATGTGTCGCACCTGTTCACGAAATCCCAACAAAAAGCTTACGCTTTAACGACATACCAACTAGAGTTCAGGGGTACAGCTCTCGCAGGTACTGTAAGGACGACACTGTTTTGATTCATCCAGCGCATCACGGCGCAGATTAGTTCCGTGGTCTGCTTTCATACGGAAAATGCTACCTGGGTGTCGAGAATTGACCCGTACTGTCTCTTACTTCGGCGAAATCCGCTTTTGTGTTTTGACTCTTGCGTTTCGGCGTGTAACCGAGCTCTAGCGCAAGTCGTTTTGCAAACAAATTATCGGCCAGCACGAACTCTGCTGGACTTTGTACTTCGCCCACGAACTCAGTCTTGAATTGCGAGCCGTCAAACTGCAAGTCGACATAAAGCATGACATCAAGCATGAGTACTATTGATGTTTTTGTTTTTTACTTCTCTTGGATTATCAGTTATCATCAGCAATACTCTAAATAGTTAGGTGGTATGAGTTCAGAAGAACTTCAGAATGAGGGCGATCATCGGCACCTCGGGACTCATCATCCCTTCTCCATTCGGAACCTGCAGGCTGGCAGAACCCACAGCAGAAACTGAATATGCCCTTATGATTTTAAAATACAGCATATACTTATAGAATCTTACATAACATGATAAAGTATGAGTATTATATAACATAAACTAAAACAACATGATGTAATACAGTATAATGTGCCAGTATACAATATGATGCAATATAGCATTATATAGCGCAACACAACGCTGTGTAGAATAGTATGACTTACTACGCTATGTCACGGTACTATGACGTAGTCTTAAACTTTGCATTCTCAGGAGTGGCGGCCGTCCTTGCTGCCATCTCAAACGTACCGAGAGGGGTAGCATCAGATGAGTTCCAAAAACGGACCGCTCGTCCATAGAACCCTTAACCCAATGGTGCGGCCGGCCGGGTTCTGTTCCAGCACGCTGCTGGTGGACGTGGGGATGAATTTTCCATGGCGGGGTTTCCGGGAGCCTTCGTCGCTGCAGGACGCATTCATAATCATTCTATGTTGCTGTACTAGATAACAGTATATTGCAACAGAATATATTATATCGTAATGCTATGTGATGTGACGCAAAGCTATATTACATTGCATGATCCTACATAATGTTATGACCACAATGTTCTACTGGAGAGCCTCAAGCTGCTCGCATGTGGGGGGACGTATGTTGGAAGCGACCGATGCCTCTCGCTGCAGTCGAAGGCAGAATTTGGAGCCTCCAAGAGGCCGTTTTAGCATGCTGCTTCCCAGTAATGTGGAGTTACCGGATGCTAGATGCTGCTAGATTAAGGATCCTCCTAGGCGATGACTCACGATTTTCAGGCAGGTCGGGATATGGGGATTGACTCCATCAACGTTTCGGGACAGATGTGCTGGGCTTTATATCATTATGTCGATGTTACAGCGAAGGCTGTGGCAGCGCAGCAGAACGCCATCAACAAACGTTGAGGATGAATTCGTGTTCACAAAAGTCCGGTTTTCAAGCTGTTGCACTCTTGGCCGGGTTTCGCCTGACTAGCAATAACCTCGATCCTAGCCACCCGGGGCCCCAGGCTCGCTCCCTGAGAGTCTTCTGGAGCCCTACCGGGTAGGGCCTACCCCCTGCCGCAACTTTGGATTGTGCTTAGATGGCCCAAACCAGGTTCCGTCTGCGAAGCACGCACGGCCAGACGGGGCTTGATGCAGGGGTTCGAGTCTAGTTAGTGCAGAGGCTTTACCACGTCAGCACGAACCATGCTCCAATACTGATCTCTGAATTTGAAGGCAGTACACCGCACATGAGTTTGTAAATGGCTGTAAGACGGTTCAGGTGGGTTGACCAGTCAACATTGAGCCAGCACGATTAACATTGCTGACGACACTAACCGTGATGATTAACGAAGTTGTTCATCACCACCATCAGCATGCTAGTAACTGTCATCATCGACGCCATCGTCACTATCACAAGCATCATCGTCATCATCTGGAAGCCGCAGCAATAGGAGAGTAGCAGCAGCATTAGCAGCACCAGTTGGAAGATCAGTGATTTTCGTCATAACTTGTCATATCGAGTGTCTGGGCCTGTGCCGGCTGCGACTGCCATGGCTGAGACAGACGAAGACCTGGAGGTCGCAGAGTGCGAGAGATTCGGAAGATGAGCTGTAGTGTTTTGTAATGCAACGTAATCCACCATGGCGTAAGGTAAAATATAATATAGCGTAGCAGAAGATGGTGCAATATGAGGTCGAGGGTAGATTAGGGTTCGGAGTTCGGGATTTGAGGTCTAGCAAGAGAGCTGGTCATCGTGTAACAGGTTGCTGACGTCTGCATACTCGTAGGTAGTGTCAGGCCGTCCGCCATAACCAGTGATAGCTATACTTCCCCTGCAAAACATTACAAACATCGTAGGGATTGTCACATTCAGGATCCTAGTATTTGGAGCCTGTTCCTCTGAGAGGTTCCGAACCTATCCTGTGGGTGTTCGATGTGAAAACACGGCAGTGCCAATGGCTAGGGACACAACACCGGTTAGTATTTGGGGCTCATCGCGGTTGCTAGTGATGGTTAAGGCTGCAGTGTTGAGGGTTCGGGTTGTAGCATCGTGCGTGGATAGAAAGCATAGGGCCCAAGTCGCTCCGAGTCCAACAGCCACTCAGCTAAACCCTAAACCCAATCAACCACCCTTGCAGCAATGCCCTAAGCTGCCGAATCGCAAAGCCGGCAGCCTTGCTTAGACTCGAATCCTCGGACCTCGGTTGAGGCACTGCTGAAGAGGCTGCGCTTGGAGCGCTTTGCCGGCCCGCTGGCGGAGCCTCGTTTCAGGGAATTAGGGCTTGGGGTTCCCAGACCCCCAACCTCAAGCCTTAAACCCACAGTGTACAGTAGGCGCTACACCCGCAGCCGTACGAAGAACAAGATTCTAGGTAGGGATTGGGGACATTTTGTATTGCTCTTATTGGGCTTTTTTTAAGGATCTTACCTATTTATATTTTTCAAAGGCTTTAAAGGCACCTCGTAGGATTGGTTTTGGTTCAGCCGTGACTGCATCAAAATTATCGGCCCCTGCTTCCTGCGAGGACCTGGGGGCTGAATCTGTGGCAGATCTGAGCTACCTCCAGGCGAGGTCGGGTTGATAAGGGGCCTTACGGTGACCAGGGGAGACAATGGCATAAGAGGGGGCACAACCCTAAACCCTAAACCCAAGCCCCTCCTAAACGTCCAAACTTGGGCCGGGACTTCGGAGGAAGCTTCCACTTTGGAAATGCTGTCACTGCCTGAGTCGTGGGCCAGCTGGCTCCTCCATACATGAGGAGTTCTGGATGCTTACTCAGCTGATGCAAAACGGCCCATGATGACAACAAACACACCCCCTCTACAATCTCGATAATCCCTAAACCTTCAACTTCAATACCCCGAACCCCTGGAATCTCAAAACTTGAACCGCCCCCCCGAACCCCTGAACCCCGGAACCCTTCCTCAACAAGAAACCGGAGGATGCAGACTTGGAGAAAGCTGGGATCCCAGTGGTACCTCGGAGGAAGATCCTCGAGGTGGGAAGTCGGGCAATAAGGGCAATAAGGGCTCTTTTTGGGGCTTCTCAAAATGTCAGGGCTCTTTTTGGGGGTTCTATAGGGCTTCCATAAAGATTCTGTGATTAGGGGTTCTGTTACGGTTCTATGGGGGTTGTATATCAAGGGTTCTAAGAGGTTTCTGTCAGGTTTCGGGTCTAGGCTTCAGGGCTAGGGTTAGTGGGTTTCGCCCCCCCCCCCCCCCCGGTGCTGTTAAGAACCAGTTTCTGCTGTTCGAGCAGCAGCTCCGCGGCTTTGGCGGAGTGCAGCAGCAAGGTTCGCGGTTTCGAGGATGTCATCTTGGCGCTGCATTCTCCCCAATGCGCCCGGCATGATGGTTCTGGTATTGTGCATTCAGTGCTCCAAAAAGCCCTGAAACCGTAAACCCTAAACTCAGAGCCGGCTTGATTATCACAGGTAGTCCTGCGACTCTATAAGTATCAGTGCTGCCGTATATATTTGCTGACAAGTGTACCTCTCTTGTTGACATTGTGGCTGCACGCCGTGTTGTGTGGCTGTGTACTCTTATGCTGTCCTGTTTCAATATGAATTTGTTATTACTGATGGCGCTGGCAAGAAATTATCCGACGACTGTGTTATGAGAATGTCGACTATGTCGAGGAATCAAGAAGATTGTGGCAACGGTGGTGGTGACGATGATGACAGCGGTGCCGACCGTGATAGTGATGGTGAAGGTGAAAAGACGACGGTAGTCAGAGTGTTGTTGTTCTTGCTGTGGTCGTCTGTGACTTTTGTTGGACTTCCTGAATCACTGTTCTTGCTTTTTCGCTGCTGAGCGGTATGCGATTGTCGGCTCAGCCTGTTGCCAGGCTGCTGGTGGCCAGTGGAGAGTCACGACCTCACCACCGGCTGGGCCGGCCGCGACACGTCCGCAGGGAAGACCAGTTGTCAGGGGTCAAATTGGGGGACGACATACGGGTCTCAGCAATTCGTTCATGGTATGACATGGTATGTATATATGCATGAGCTGCATGAACAGGGGAGCACTCAAAGCTTAGTTTGGTTTGTTGGGTTACGGTTTCGACATGAGGATACCTTACTTCATCGAGAAGCCAGGGCTCCCCTCGCAACCCGTGCAGATTTCGAAGTTCGAGTGGTGCTGGCACCAGGCTTTAAGCGTTGGACTCAACCCGTGAGCTTGGGGATGTGAATGACAGTTGCAAGGGTTTAGGGGCTTAGGAGTGTAGGCTTCAGGGTTCGGGGGCTTTCTACAGGGACCATGGAGTTTTTTAGGAGTTTGCAGGAGGCCTCTACCCTCTCCGCTTGAGCCCTAAGCCCTCCTCGTCGTCCCTTTTGAACCGAAAGGGTTTAGGATTTAGGTGCTCTCATCCCCGAAAAGCCCGCGCGAGGCGCCGGGGTTCCAGCTGCCAGCTTTGCAAGACAAGGGACCCGTTCCTGGCCTGCCAGCTTTGCAAGACAAGGAGTCTTGATCGCACGAGCTGCAAATAACAGCAAGTTCTACGAAGTCTGATATTAATAGCAATAGTAAAGGTCATGATCGCAACAATACTAACACTAAGACTAACAACCAGCAGAACAAAAATACCACAGCGGTAATAATAGTGATGATGCTAAGTAAATGACAGTAGCAGCAATAGTATTACTTCGAAGAAAAGCAGTAAACTCATACTGATTTAAAACCAAAGTTAGTAAGACTACTGATACTGATGACATTAATATATACATAGCAGCAGTAACAACAATTATAATCAACGTTCAGCTGGTCTGGGATTCCATGAGGGCCTGCAGCTTTTGCTGCACGAAAGTGGAGAATGCTGCGCACAGCAGGCGACCGCGTCCTCAGTCAATCTAGAGTCTACAGGGTCAACGCCTTAAGTCGGAGATGGTTGGAAACTTCGTGGGTGTTCATCGGCGTGTGACGTGTGCAAGGTGCCCCTTGTGAGTCGGTGATGGGATAAAGATATGTTGGCCATGCGAGCTCGCGATAAGCAAGACGTCATTCCATTCTTAAAGATGCTTATACCGTACATATGTTAGATCGACTGCAAGTTCGTATGTGAAGCCGGATTCCCTTGCTCGTGTGTTGCGGGGCTGCTCACAGATGTTGTCGCCTTGTCTACTCTGTGCTGGTGGCTCTCGGTTGAGCATTGGGTTTGCCAGTTTGGGGTTCGGTGTCCCGAACCTAGACGAAACAGCAAGAGAGCCCAGACCTCATCCCAGCTGAGAGATTCCTGAAACCATGCCACCCTCCGAGTCCTTTGAACCCGCATAGAAGCTTATGAAACTACCGGAAGCATCAGTTATCGTTTCAAGCCCTTAACTCTATACCCGTTTGACTGAGCGACATAACCCCTTGCACCCCGAACCTCAAATCCCGAAGCCCCGCACCGGCAAGCCACTCCCCAGCCACTAAACCCGTAAAGAACAAGCCCCCCACTTGCAAACACCCTCTGAGACGCTGAGCCTTCAAAAGCCCCAAACCAATTAGAATGACTTTCCCGAGAAAGGAACTCTTTAAAGGAGCCCTTAAAAGGAACCCTGAAACGAAGCCTCGAAAGGAGCCTTTAAAGGAAGCCGTAAACGGCCCGAAACCACGGGCACCTGCTGAGCCCAGGCCTCAGAGTTCACAGCCCAGTCCAAAGCCTCCAAGGAGCTTCCGAAGGAGGCCGTCGGACTGAGTCTGAAGGCTTCGTGCTCCCTTGAAGGGGGGCTTGAGGGGTCAGAATCTTGAAACGGGCTTGGGACTTGGGGGAGGCTTTATTGGGTTGATATGGCTGTTTTGGAAGGTTGTTGCCGAGGTATGTAGGGTGTTTGTCGGGTTGGTAGCGTTGGATAGGGTGTTTGGAGCTTTAAGGGTTTACGGATTAGGTGTATTCTGGGTGTTGAGGTTCATAACTGTTTTGGTTTGGGGGTTTGTTGTGGCGCATCATCGTTGCATGTTGGTGCCAGTTTTCTGTAGTTCATGGCAGTACGACCATCTTTGCATGTATCATGATCACGATCACAATTATCATCATCCCTTAAACCCCAAAGCCCTAGAGCCATAAACCCGACACCTCAAAACCCAAAGCCGCTGAGCCCGTATATAACCACACTTACAACTGTGAAAATTTTGGATGCCCTGCTTATAACCATACTTCTGACTACTAGTTGGGATAATGTTGGTTACCCTACTCATAACTCTACTCATGACTATCCATAAACCCTATAATTCTATACCCTAAACCCTAAACCCTATACAACCCCTAAAGGAACCCCACTTATGGCTATCCATGAACCTCCAAGTGCCCCAAGAGGCCTCGGAGCCTGCAGCTCGACATCCCTGGGAGTCCCTGGACGAGGAGGAAGGCCCGGCGGAGATCCCTAAATCCTTATCTTATTACCTTTGGTTAGGAAATCCTTATCTTACCTTTGGCTAGTAGGGAATTAATATAGGTGCCTTGTAATGGGGTCTATAAGGGTTGCTATAAGGGATCTACAATAATCCTTATCCTACCTTTGGTTGGTAGGGAATGGAAGGGGCCTTACAATGGGGCCTATAAGGGTTACTATAAGGGATCTATAGTAAGCCTTATCTTACCTTTGGTTAGTAGGGAATGGAAGAATGGTAGTAATAGTAGTTATACTTAGACCCCATTCCTCCATTCCCTACTAACCAAAGGTAAGTTATGAGACATGTGCAATTTAGGTGTCTGAATGAATGAATGAATGAATGACTGAGTGAATGGATGAATGAATGAATGAAGGAAGGAATGAATCAAGGAATGAAGGAATGAAGGAATGAAGGAATGAAGGAATGAAGGAATGAAGGAATGAAGGAATGAAGGAATGAAGGAAGGAAGGAATGAAGGAAGGAATGGAATGGAATGGAATGGATGAATGAATGAATGAATGAATGAATGAATGGATGAATGGATGAATGGATGAATGGATGGATGGATGAATGGATGAATGAATGAAATGAAATGAAATGAATGAAATGAATGAAATGAATGAAATGAATGAAATGAATGAAATGAATGAAATGAATGAAATGAATGAAATGAATGAAATGAATGACATGAATGAAATGAATGAAATGAATGAAATGAATGAAATGAATGAAATGAATGAAATGAATGAAAGGAATGAAAGGAATGAAAGGAATGAAAGGAATGAAAGGAATGAAAGGAATGAAAGGAATGAAAGGAATGAAATGAATGAAAGGAATGAAATGAATGAAATGAAAGAATGAATGCATGCATGCATGCATGAATGAATGAATGAAATAAATGAATGAATGAATGAATGAAATGAAATGAAATGAATGAATGGAATGGAATGGAATGGAATGGAATGGAATGGAATGGAATGGATGGAACGAAGGAAGGAAGGAATGAATGAATGAATGAATGAAATGAATAAATGAATGAATGAATGAATGAATGAATGAAGGAATGAAGGAATGAAGGAATGAAGGAATGAAGGAATTAAGGAATGAAGGAATGAAGGAATGAAGGAAGGAAGGAAGGAAGGAATGGAATGGATGAATGGATGAATGGATGAATGGATGAATGAATGAATGAATGAATGAAGGTATGTATGTATGTATGTATGTATGTATGAATGTATAGCTTTTATATGCATTCCGGTTTTCTGTCTTTTACCCCTTGTGTTTATAATTTTAACGCTACGCCGCCCGCCTCGGCTGTGTAGCGGCAGGGCGAGGGGGCAGTCGATGTTTTTTAATGCTAGGGCGGCCTGTCCAACCCCACCCTTAGACGGTTGAGAACTGGTACAAGGGGGGTGGGGGGGGAGGGGGGGGGAGGTAAAATGAGGGGAAGCCGGGCAAGGGGGTGGCAAACGAACGCAAAAAGCGGGTGTCCCCAATCAGGGAAATTACTTGAGCCTCGGCGGATTACCCACAGCGAGCTCTAAACCCGTATCAGGGCTTCGGAAGAGACTGTTGTTTTTTGAGAGTGGGGGTAGGGCATGTTTAGGGCTCAGCCCAGAATCTTGCGAGAAAACGGGCTGACCGTAACCCCAAACCCCATAAACTCTAAACCTGCTGGCAGCATTGGGCTTCTGGGGATTCAGGGGCAGAAACTATTGATGACTGTTGTCCTCGAAACAGGCTTTCGAGGGGGGTGTTTTGGGGCTGGCCTGGCCAATCCCTTGATACCTTGCGTTATAGGCTTATATTGCAACGGAAGACTTGAACCGCAGAACGCTTACAGTGGCTTACAGTACTATCCTTGTACAGATCCTGCACTCCCAAGTCCTGATCCCTGCACGCTGCAGTGTACAGACTTATACCATGATCTGCCCCCAAACCCTATTCTACCTACCAAGGCCCTGTATGACGTCCGACCCTTCCTTCCCAGGCTTTGAGCTTTCTTCGGAAGCGAAAGACGAGCTCAAGCTGCTCATGCGAGACCTCAGGCTATCTGGGCTTCAGGATTTTAGGGGCTTGGGGGACGTACCCATGATCATGCACATTTTTTATTGGTGTCCTCGTTACCTCATTCGTGCCCGGGTGTTGGCTATCGCTGAGGCCGTCATGTTTCATGTAGTTGGCGTTCTCTGCAACAGTTTTGGATATCCCCAGTGCTGTTGCCGCCACTGCGTATTTAGGTTCGCTTTCTCGGCATTGCTTTAGATTAAAGAGGGTGTGCAAGCCTTCCGTGCTTTTGCGTTTTACGGAGAAGCTTTGAGTGCTTGCCTGTGCCAGCTTCGTCGATTACATCGTGCGGTGCCATTCGCAGAGCATGCTCAGCTGTCATCACTGATGGCATTGTAAATTGTCACCACATACAGATACTCTGCATTATTGCCTCTTTGGCCTCGTCATCGTCGTCGCTAATTCTCGCATTATGATCATGGTTATCATCACCATCATCAGCAGCACAAGCACTGTCCACATCCTAATCCTCATCCTCCATGATCATGAATGCCATCCGCAGCAGTTGAATCCTTGTTCCCGCCTTTTGCACAGTTTAGAGCGCTCTTTCAACTGGGCCTGCAGCATGCACTTCGCAACTACCATAGCAATACAGGGGCCTTTATTACAATTATAGTAGAATGGGCCCCCAAAACCCTATTCTAAGTATTAAGGCCCCTAAATACCATAGTCCTCGTCCTCTCACACGAGCCAGTCTCCAGCCAGTCTCACAAAGCCAGAAAGCCTTGTGCCAGGAATCTCCGCGAAGACTTTGCCACTGTGTGCCGTGGCCGAAGAATTGGGCCTGCTACTTGGAGGTTTAGGGGTAGTTATACGTGGGGTTATAAGTAGGGTGACTATACTTATAACCCATATTAGGGGACTTATAACCCTACCTATAACTACCCATGAACCTCCAAGTAGACACGGACCAGGGCCACTAGAGTTGCTACAGGGGTTTCGGAAACCCTCGAGACGCCAAACCCCCAAGCCGTTTACCTTTGCTTCACATGGGTTGGGCTTGTTCTGATGAGCTTGCACCTTGGTGATGGATGCCCTAAATGCTTGTCTCCCAGGAATTGCCTGGACCTGAACTCCCGGAATCATCTGCAGAGCCTTCCGAGCAGGGTCGCGCTTCGCAGTCCCTCGGACGCACGATGGCAGGGCCTTCTAATCCTAAGCTCTAAACCTTGAAGCCTAAACCCTGAAACCTAAAACCTATAGGCCAAGGCCTCGCAAACCCCGTAAAGCCTCGGCACGGCCTGGTCTTTCGGACCAAAGGACTGTCCTGAAGCAAGGCCTGCATGGGAGCCCTGAAGTGTGCAACCCCAACCCCTGAAGCTTCTGGATCTCGAAGGCCACCCTACCCAGAACCCTAAGCCCTACTTGGAGGTTCATGGGTAGTTATAAGTAGGGCCATAATATGGGTAATAAGTATAGTTATTAACTTATAAGCCCACTTATAACTACCCCTGAACCTCCAAGTATAAGCCCTAAAACCCTAACCCAACCTCAAGAGTGTCTGCCCGAAAGTAGGAACCCCAACGATGCGCAAGATCATAACCAATGACTGAGTATGGCCCATGCGCGATAGTCTGAAAGGAACAAGAACTAGGCATTCCATGCCGTCTCCCTCCCGAAGTCCAGAAGAAAAGCCCTAAACCCGGCTCAATCTTGAAGCCTTCCCTAGCAGACTCCGGTCCCAAAACAGCTAGGCATGGGCTTGCTCGGCTGTGGAAATACCTTCTACATGGAAGGCGGCTGGTCGCTGAATCCTAGGAGTTGGGGGTCTCGGGCCCTGGGCCCTGGAGCCCTGGGGGAGGACGCTCAACGGCCCCTTAATAATGGGTATTTGGGGTATGTTAGAGGGTAGTTGGGGAGTCTAGGTCATTAAGGATTGGAGGAAAGCATGTGAGGATTTGGGGCTGCTGAGGATTTGTTTCGGGTTCTCTAGGTCGACTCTGTCAGGACGGTGCTGCTGTCCTTCAGGGCGTGCAGCAGAAGTGAACGGCGGAAAAGAACGAAGCCCTGTACTATAGCCCCAGCCGTCCCTAACTCCATAAATGAAGCAAGGCCCTGAACGCTGCCTTCTTCAAGAGTATCAGCCCAAGAGCTCTGGACGCTTTTTGGCAAGCCTCAAACCCTGAAACCTCGACCTCACAGACATGATGTAGTGATCAGACACATCGAAGGTGGCTGTTGTGTGCTGGAGTCATTGTTGTAGTTTTTTCGTGTCGGGGCTCGTTGGTATCTGGGCACTGCCAGTATGGGTCCAGAAGGATCGGTTTTGCTGATGAAGGATGCAAAGCAGCAGCGGTACGTGTAGCTGTCTGTGCCCAGTATGAACCAAGCTGTTGCGGAGGCGAAGCCGCACAGCTCCGATTGGGAACTTAAGGCCCATAGCCGAACCCGAAACCCTAAACCCTCAAAGAGGTAAACCCTAAACCCTAAACCCTAAAAGAGGCATCCGGAAGCCTGGTGCCGCCTTGGCCGCGCGCGCCCGTGGAGCAGCGCTGGATGAAAGGAAGTGGCTTGGCAGGGGCTTGGGGGGCTTCTGGGCTTGATCAAAGAAGCTTGTTTCATCATTCTAATAGAGGTTCGGGGGTATATACCTGAATTACTACGTGATATAATGATATGGCAGATATAGCATGAGTATGAACAGGAACCATATGGAATGATTTTGGCAAGCATTCAGGCTTGTATATTGGGTGTCGGACCGTTTCTGGAGATCAGTAGGCTTGAGGCTTCAGAGGATCGGGACAGGACGGGACTTTACTGCGGCCCGGAAGCAAGGCTTTTGGGCACGAAGCCTCGCACACTGTCGGCCCAATTTGGCAAGACCAGGTCTGTCACATAAGTACAGGACAGAATATGTAGCTTGGATAACTTTTTCTCGGATGTTGGCCCCCTCACCCATTTGGACGCTCACGTTGAGGCCCGGCGCGAAGAAAGCAGAGCCCTTCGAGGCCTTGCCGTTTTTCGAAATTTCCCCCTTCACCTCGCAGAGTAATTACTGGCAGAGACTGCTCCGTAGTTGCACCTACCTAGTAACTCGTGTGGTTGTTGTCGAGGCTTGATGAATCGGCAGTCAAAGGGCTTCACCAAGGTCAAGCCCACATGAAACTGGATCCTCCTCGGCATGTCTAGGTTTCTCGGAGGTGTGAGGCCCATAGCTTCTTCTAGGCTCCAGACGAACTTCCGGTATTTTCAGTGTCTGGCCATGTTGGACGCGACTCTTCAGACCTCTAGTGCAAGAGCAGATTGTACATTCCAGGCTCTTGACAGTCCTCTGGGCCTTATTAAAACTTTACTTTTGGTCCTACGAGAGACCCGTGGGTTTGAGGGGATGAGTGATGCCAATCAAGCGTCAAACAGTGCAGAGCAAAGGGGACTCTCGGAACCATTCTAACCCTTGGTGCTGCAGGAGTGGGTGAAGTGCCTCAGAGGCAGTTGGGCAGTATCGCAGTATTGGAAACTAGTGCTCAGATTCCAGATCGCATCGATTCCCAAGCTACAGCTCACAATTTACCAATTTCACAACATTCAGCGAGACTGCAAGCACAGATGCCGCTCTGAGATCTTGAATCCTGCACCTTCGGCCAGCCTCTATCACACAGATGCTCACAAGGCCTCACCCTTTCGTAACCCTGATGATTAAGAACCGCAACCCTCATAGGAACCGTTAGAACCCTTAAGGGTTCCTCTAGGGGTTGCTTTGCAAGAAGCGAGTCAAGCCAGTCGATGGAAGCTGAAGGCTCATTGCAGCTGCCTGCTGCACACTCTCAGTTCCAAGCTCTACTTCTCAATCCTACTGCGGCACCGCACCGAATTCCTGAAACCCTGAAGGCTGTACTTCTCATGTGTACTCCTATACTATGCGCCAGAAACTTGTAGACCCGCAAGTACAACACATCTCCGAGAAGCAATTCCCACGTCAAGATCACGGCACTCGCGGATGCGCTGCTAAGGCTTTTAGAAAGCTTCGCCGCAGCCAACAAGCTAAGCGAGGCCCGGGCGCCTGCTTCGGAGCGGATGTGCAGACGGGTTGGAGAAGAGAGGGAGTCAGTGAGTCAGAGGGAGAAAGGGATGGCAGGAGAAAGAGAGGCAGAGGCTGAGAGAGAGAAGAGAAGCGGAGAACACCGATAACAGTGTGTGTGTGTGTGTGCCTGGATGTGTGCGCGTGTTTTCTTCTTGTGAATGACAGCGCTTATACAGGGCTTAGGAGATGAGTGCCTCTGCGAGTTATGCACGCTATACACAGTTGCTCGTGTAGTTTGTGGGGTCCGGGCCGGAACGCACACCAGAAGCATGCCAAGTGCCCTTGCGATTATCGTCGAATCGTAACATGACTAACTTGGAGGCACTTTGAAGACCCTAATGGCTATGTCTGTTTCCCAAATCAAGACCGTGGTGCTCAACTCCCGATGCCCGCAGCACACCGCAGGCTTCACACCGCAGGCTTCAGGGATACACTGTTTGTTCACATTTTGGGCCTACATTCGTTTGAGGCCACGCGCAACTCCTTGGAGGGCCTCGACCGCACGCAGGCGATCACTACTATATGTAAGCTTACTTGCACAGCGGGACGCCGACGAGATGACAGCTGGGTTCCAGCGACTTAAGCGGTCAAGTGATGGCAACAGCATTTCTGGAAAAGTCAGGCATACACACACACACACACACACATGTATGTCTACGTACCTAGGCCCACACAGAGGCCGATGCATTTCCACATGCATGTGCCCAGACACATGATCATGTCTGTAGGTTGACATATACACAGGCTACATGCACCTACGCCATCATCACTACATATGTTTGCCAGCAACAGCATGATCTTCCTAGTCAGCATGTTTTAATCTACAGCGGGCATCTAACTCACATTTGCGACCAAACTGTCGTACGAGAGGTCTTCAGTTTTCGTGATTTCGGGGCTCCGACTCGTGTTCAAGGTACAAGGCCAGAGACGTTCAGGGGGTTGGGAGTAGTCTACGGTCTCAGAGGCAGTCTTGGAGGCTTGTTGGGGGCTCACTACTACTTGACGTGTTAGCAGCAAGTTGCCGCAGCATCCTCAGAGCTCCCAGTTTCACAACTGACACTGTGCGAATGTCCGGACTTTGGGACGACCTGTAATGCAAGTTGAAGCAGGAAACTCTGTGCCGGCATCTCGTGATACTGCCTAAGCCAAGCTGTTCCATCAATTAGAACATCATCGATGTCACATGTTATCACATGTTGAATCAGCATGGCAACAGAAACGATACAGTCCCCAGCGCAGCCGACCACATCTTCTACAGTAGAAGCCGTGCAGGGAGGTTGCCAACCGACTCTAGCCTGGTTTCCACTGAGGCCGAGCTAGGGCCATTGCGATGGCAACCCGCCCTCAAGCACTAAGGTAGGTAAGTCTCGTGTGTGGAGTATCCCGAGGCCCCCAACTGCATGTTCTGTAGAGCCAAGTGTATCTGCTTTGTGCTTGGAGGCCTTGCGGGTCATGGGCTTCACCACTGCGCTGCGATTTCTTGCTGGCACGGGTCTGAGGACTGTGATGGTATGTTGCTCTCCAGGTGCGATTTGTTGAATGGCTACGGCTAAACCGCATTCATGATGGTAGTAGCGCTGGTTAGTTGTACCAGCAATGGCTGTACTTGGAGTAAGATGAGCATGCCACACGGTGATATCTGGGTGCTGACAGTATAACACCAAAGACGAGCGAGCTGAATGACAGCATCTAGGCTGCTTTAGATGTCGGCCTCAACATTTCGAGTGCATGACATTCATTTCAGGCAGTTTCTCGCAGGACTTGGCGTGGACATTCCGCACCCACACTTATGTAAACTTCAACCCATAAGACGAAACCCTTCAAGCCTAGACTGACAAGCTTTGGACTCTCCACGCCTCTTTTGAAACCTCCATAAGCCCCAACTTCGGAAGCCCTCTGAGTTTAAGGCCCGGTGGTCCGTGGAGAGGCCGAGCTGGAAGTCAGCACACGCCCTTTGTCGGCCAGCATCGTAAAGAAAGGGCCTACGTACCAAACGGTTAGCAATATTCCGTTTCTTGGGGTTCCCATAGTATACCTGATACCTGTAAGTACTCGTAAATTATACCAGTTTCTTAGCTGGTGATCCAGTAGTGGACTATTGTATAAGTGAAAGCTATGATTAAATCATACCTTAAGCCGCCTCTCTGAGTATGTACGAAGTGTTTTCAGGTATGACAGTGATATTACGTAACTTTAACGATTTTTTTTGGGGCTGGTAAATGGGGGTTAATGGGTTGGAGGGCTGTGGAGGGTGAAGGGTTTGGCTGATCATAGGGCCATCGGGTTTAGGGTTGGGGGTTACTCGGAGGTTCATGGGCAGTTGTAAGTATACTCATAGCCCTATTTGGGGACTTACAACCCTTCTTATAACTACCCATGAACCTCCAAGAAAAAGGGTTTAGAGGGGGTTTGGGGTTTGCTTAGTTGCTTGGCAAAGTTGATGCCAAACGGCTCTAGGGCTCTCAGGACTGAGTTTGTAGAGTTTAGGGTTTTGAGCCTGGGGTTTAGGTTTTGTGGGGTTTTCGTTGGGTTGAGGTATCTAAGTTTAAAGGGTGTTGGGAGGTGTTTATGCTTTCTGGATGCTTTGGGATCGGGCCTTCACGAATCCTCCATTCTGCAGTTGCGAGCCCAACTACCCCTGCGCCCATAGATGGCCAGCCCAAAACTGAGCCCGGCATCTTTACGTGACATAGAAACTCTTTCAAAGCTCTTTCAAGACTCCTCTAAACCCCTAATAAACCCCTAAACCCTAAACCCTAAACCCTAAACACCCGTAGCTTGGGGCCATCTCAGCTTTTCGAAAGCCTCTATCCAAGGCCTGTGGGCCGCCAAGAGCGATGCACCCATGGAGGCAGATGAGTAAGGAACCCCCAAAATAGTATAGGTAATTATTAAGGCCCTTATATTATAGTACCCTTATAGTAGGGATGGAGGCAGATGAGTAAGGAATCCCCAAAATACGGTTGATGATATAAGTCCTGCATGACCCATAATAAGGTTTTATTTGTAATGCCCATGTTGATGATATAAATCCTGCATGACCCAGAATAAGGAATATACTATAACTTCCATAGTGTAGAGTCCTTGAGGTAATGCAGGATTTATATCATCAACCGTAGTATAGGTAACTATTAAGGCCCCTATATTATAGTACACTTACAGTAGGGCTGCTATTCCACATGGGTGGTTGTCAAAATTAGGGTCCCTTTGTGGGTACCCTACATAAATATTAGGTGCCATACTATAAAAGGGTCCCAATAAAGGGACCCTAATTTTTACAACCACCCACATGGTTAATACTTCGTAAGATCTCCTGAAGATGAGGGTACCGCAAGATACTATAATAAGGGATACTTTCAGGATACTCTGTACTTTACTACAGGCAAAACTACGGGATACGATAAGGCTTACGATAGGGATACTACAAGGGTAAGCTTCCAAGTGATCCCCTGTTTGCCAGGCCGTGCTGCCACGCGGAGACACCGAACCCACTCGAGGTGTCATTATCGGTGTTTCGCTTTTCTCTGGCTTTGGGGTTCAGGGTTGAGGGTCTGGGGTTTGGCAAGGGTTTGAGGTTTAGGGTTTGGCGTTTAGGGCTGAGTCTGCAGTCAGAGTTTTGGGTTGAGCGCTGTGCCCAGGTTCCGGAGTCTCCCCAGAAGGACCCTCAACCGAAAAATGCGAACCCTCAATGCCTCGTTCGCCTGATTCCTACCGCCTGCAACCGCCCAAAAAGCTCCCAAAACCACGAAATCCTAGCCCGAAACCCTGAAACCCTGAACCCTGAACCCTGAACCCTGAAATCCTAAACCTAACCTCCAAAAGCCCGAAACCCAAAGCCTGCGATGAGGTGCCGGCGCGACGAAGCGCGACCGCAGTCGGAGCCGAAGAAGGCTTCCAGCTGCTGATTATGACATGGGAGTTTCCCAAAATTTGGGGGGTTCCTTTGTCTGGGGTCCTTAGAAGCGGTTACATTGGGGTCTATATTAGGGTTCCCCTATGTTTGGAAACCCCTAAACAGAGTGGTCATAAGGGGTCTGAAGACTTGGTCGTGGTCTTCCCCTATGGTATATTTGATGGTGCAGGCGGCACCGTGGTTGGGGTTGTTGTGGTGGTTGTCGTGGTCATGGTTGTCCTTGTCGTCTTTGAGTGTGGAATGGATTCATGAAGTCCGGGATTCGCACAGCCCACCCTGCACATTTCTCAACTGAAGCTTCCATATTACGCGGCCAGGGCCAGTGATTCGCTGCCGGGTCTTTCCCGGCATGTGGACACCTTCATCGAGCTCAACGACGCCGTGCAGCATGCAAGATGTACGTAGGACTGTAATACACCATGCCGGGGAACTAGCGAATGAAAGGCTTTCCGAAAAGCCAGCGGTGCCAAGCACAGCAGGCAACGCCACACCAATTGAATCATTGAGTATCGCAACAGAACAAGTTTAGAAGATAAGGTGGAGGATCACCAGGATGCAGCTGAAGAGCCACGATTCAATACGACCGCACACAGGCCCATACAATTGTAGAATACTTTTCAGTATTCTGCACATCGCGGCCGCATCAACAGCTGCCATCACGTCAGGCAGCGTCAAACATGGGCTGCGTTTGAAGCTAGGCTGTTTTTTGACTGCTTCAGTCGGCTGGGCATGAAACCAAGTGGTCGATCTGTGCAAAGCTGCAGCTGAAGTTTAAGCCTTGCATTGCTTCAGCTGTATCGGCAGTCTTCGCACACCATTTTCATCGCAGTCGGTCTGAGTTGCATGTTTATGCGGGATGGATTGTCTTTTCTTGCAGAGCACAGGCCGCACTGCAACTATCACTCGACTCGGGTAGCAGATGGCAGCATGCAACATCTGAGATGGATAGCTTTAAAGGACATGAACCGGCGTGGAAGTGCCTGGAAGCACTCCGCGCCCTGCATGCCCCGTGAGCTTTCAATCAGCCGTATAAGTATAACTTGAGCCTGATCACTTGATCCAGCAACTTGTAGTCAGGTAGTCGTAGTTCCCTTCACAGCTTCAGTGTGTGCCATCTACTGTTGCTACTGGTCGTGCAACTTCACAACCTGGTAGGAATTACCAGTAGCCAATGCGCAGGAGGGGCTTTTGCGGTTCCCCGAGGTTTGAAGTTGTGAGATCTGCTTGGAGGTCCATGGGTCGGTATATAGTGTATATAGTGGAGTTATAAGTACGGTAACGATAATTCTTAAAGGTATCAGGGGACTTATCATAACTGCCTCTGCACCTAAAAGTGGTCCTTCAATGGGATGCTCAGGATTTGGACGAGCGAACCAGCACCATCCTGCGAAAGCTGGAGGCGAAGACAGCACGGGCTCCCAGAA